GCGTTAGGAATGTGGACGCCCGAGGGCATCTGTGGGTGGAGGCAGGGGGTGGCAGCTCAGAGGGACAAGCAGCGGGAGCCCCTGACACCCAAAAAGGGGGGCCCTGAGCAGGACACCATCACGTCACTCCCTCCAGAGGCCGGGGTGCCTGGGCCCTGAGAAGGGCCACTCAGGGAGGGTGGGAACGGCCGGAAATGGGGTCCCCAGAAGGACAGATGGGCGGTGCCATGGCCTCCTCGCTGGGCCCACCAGGAGCAAAGCACCAGGAGACCGCTTTCCATCTGTGTCCAGAGACGGACACGCTGTCAGTTAAGCTACAAAACCAGCTGCCGGATGGAGTTCATCCTAGAAAACAATTCGAAACTCTAGACCGAAGGTCCTGTCACAGCTGCTGTTTCCTGCTCCTGGAGACCAGCAGAATGCCCAAGGCGGCGAGTGTCGTGTCAGTGCGGAGTCCAGGCCGACCACGCTGGTGTGAGAGAGAAGATAAAGACGAGGGTAAGTCCAAGTCCATGTATGTTCGCCATAACGTTTATGGTTCTTGTCTTCATCGCAGCAAAGTCACTGGCATTGTCATCGTCATTCACATCCGTTGGCAGAAATGGCCTAAAGGATGAGTCTTGCAGTTTCAGTAAATTGTGGTCACACATTTCGGAAGCGGTGGTCCCTCCCGCGCGGTGAGCTGTTTCTTAGCTGCCACCTTGTGTCTCCGGGACAGCCTCACGTGTGCCTGGGATTTCAATGCCAGTCACACCCCAGGGCTCCTGGGTTGAACCAAGGCACCCAGCCCCTTGCCTTGGGGCCGTCCTAGGGACCCTGCAGCCCGCCCTCCATTCTGCCCAGCTGCCTCTGGAGCCCTCTACATGCTGAATTTATCCAATGTTGTTGGCTGCTTGGTTGTACTTTTTAAATTTGCACGTGTTGTCAACATTAAAAGATGCAAACACTTTTTACATAAAAACATGACACCTTAGTTTCTCTCAAAACGCACATAGCCAGCAACCTTTAGACACTTTTCTGCAAGGTAACATCCACGTGAGGCTGGCAGGAGCTCAGGCTGTGGGGGTGGGGTCCCCAATAGTCAACCATCCCTTCTTCTAAACTAGGAGAACCCCCAGTTTGGGGCTGGGCACATGGTCACCCAAGACAGAAACAACATTGCTCTGCCTCTCTTGCAGCTAGGTGCACCATGTGACTAGATTCTGGCCAATAGGAGAGGAGCTGAAGAGATGTGTGTGATCCGCGGGTTGTACCTCTAAAGTGCTTGCTCTCCCTTTCCCCGTGCCCCTTCCTGTTGTCTGGAAGGTGGAGAGGCTGGCCCGTGGTCTTCAAACATCCAGAAGAAGACACGCCCTCAGATGGCAGTCCCACCGTGCAGGAGGGCCTGGCTCCCCGATGCCTGGGTGAGCTGAGCCACGTGCCCACTCACACTCACGGAGGTCACCATTTGCATGTCTATGTCATCTAAGCCACTGCCACAGGCAGGCCACCACCGGGCGCCCCATAGATGGAGCCCCCTCTCCAGTTCACCACAGTCCCCACCCCTCCCTTTGTCTCCCCAACTCCATGGCCAGTGGGTACCTGCTACTGAACCTGTGCTGTTACCCCCCCCTAATCTCCGCCTACTGCCCACCTGGCCCCTTAGGCATTTGAGCTGGGGACTCCCACTGTCAATCCTCAAAAGATAACGTTAAGACACCCATTTTCCAGGACTTTGGGGCTGCTCACCTCTCTTTTTAGGGGTCACTCTCTGTGACTCGGGGCTCCCCTTCCGGAGAGGCCAACCTTACTGCCTCCCTGGTGCTCTGTTGGGCACCTTCTCGCGTGAGGAGAGATCAGTACGTTTTCTCTCTGGCAGCAAATGTGAAGCGAAGGTTAAATGAGATCACGCGGGGCAGCCCCTGGGCCGGCCTCGGCCAGGCTCCCGTGTCTGCCTGCTGTTCCCCGTGGGCATCGAGAGGGAATCCGGGTGGGATTTGGTCCTAGGCAGGCCTGGCCCCAAAGCCTGTGTGACTCCCTCCTGTGCAGCTGGAGACGTAGGGCCAGGAGCCAGGCGACAGCCTAAGTCCCGGCCTCCATGACTGACGTGGAGCAGAGCCAAGGACGGGCCCAAGCGCCTGTGTTCAGGACTCTTATTTCCCCCAAATGCTCACGAATAGGCGCCCCTAAAGCCAGCTTCGTCAGCGGCTTCGAGCGGTATTGCCAAGCCTGCTCAGCGGGCCCCCCCCCGCCTGCTGACCACACCAGCCTCGCCCCTCCCTGGGTCACGGGCAGAGCAGTTAGCACCTGCTCCGGGGTGGTCACTGGCCAGCTCGGCGTCCGGGGCCTCGGGAGGAGGGCCGGACCGCAGGCCCAGCCCAGACCCGCTGAATGCAGATCGGCGGGTTGTTTCTCACAGGCTGCCAGGGGAGCCGTGCACAGCACGCTGGAGGATCAGCGATGTAGCCACGTGGATGGAAATGGAAGGAGTCCGGGCTTCGAAATTAAACAACCTGAATCCCAGCCGCTACCTGCTAGCCGAGTGACCTTGGGCCTGTGTCTTAAGTGCCGAGCCTCAGCCGCACCAAGGGAGACACAGTATTCGGTCGGTGAAACCATCTGAAGGCCAAATAGAATCACACTGAACACTTGTCTTGTTAGGTTGATGTGGGAATTAATTTTAAAATGAGTTCTAATACACGGTGCCCCTGGCACAGAGCAGGTGTTCACTCAGGGCACAGCCTGCTCCCCGCCCTCCCCTCACCCCACGGGCCCCATGAAACCCACACACAGAACCTGGTGTCGTCGTCTCAGAACCAGGGTTCTGCAACAGGAGCTCCTGGCGTGTGGGCCGGGGGTGATTTCGCGGCTGCACGAAGCCTGTCCGAGGGGACCTGCCGCCGCCGCATTGAGACCGTCCCATAGCACTTCCAGACGAAGAAGGGACCACCCCCACCCCCCACTCCCCGTGACGTGACAAGACCTGATGTGCTGGAAACCAAGATCAACAGTAATTAATATAAATGCGGGGAGACGTCCATCAGAAAGCTGACCTGGACTCTTTTGATATGCACAGGGTGAGTATTTGCATTTTATTACCTCCTGCCGATTCAGTGGCCTAAAGCAAACTCCCCCGACCTGAAAATCTTACTGTTCACTAAACAATCACCGTGGATATGTCTGTTTGCATTCCTAAAAGACAGTTGTGTATGCTAGTAAATAAAAGCTGACCAAACGGAGACTTAGTGGAACTTGACTCCTACAGTTGCGTTTTCCCTGGCTTCCCCCCATAATTTCAAATCATGATTTCTTGTCTGTGTGTTAATTTGTGCGGCAGCTCTTTCTCCGAGCCTTTGAACCCGGAAGCCACGCCGGCCGTGGCCTTTCACACGGATGCTGACTCGGCCGCTCTCGGGGTCACTCAGCACAGCACCCCAGCGGGTTCACAACCCGCCCCAGGAGAAGCATGCTCCCCGTGTCCGTGTGGAAGGTCATCACCAGGAAGGGCCGGTTGAACTCCGGGTCTGGAGCGGGCGAGGTGTGGAGGTCGTGGGCGGGGCGGGGCCCCGGCGTGAGCTGGATGCTGGTGGCAGCAGCCACCTCTGTGCCCCCCTCATCCAGAGTCATCGCAGCCTTGTGTGCAACCTGCAAGGAAAGTTCTGGAATCGCCAACTGACCCCATAAGGAGGGACCAACCAGGCCTTTATTTTTATTTTTTTAAATATGTTTTTATTGATATCAGAGAGGGAGGGAGATGGAGAGAGATAGAACCATCAATGATGAGAGAGAATCATTGATCAGCTGCCTCCTGCATGCCCCCTACTGGGGATCAAGCCTGAAACCCAGGCATGTGCCCTGACCAGGAATTGAACCATGACCTCCTGGTTCATAGGTCTACGCTCAATCACTGAGCCACACTGGCCGGGCTCTCGGTCCCACAGGCCCACGATCAGGAAGGAGCCCAGAGCTTCCTCCGCGGTCCAGCCCTGATGGTGTGGACCCACCCGGCCTTCCCTGTCTGGGCTGTCACCCGAGGGCAGGGGTGGGGCCTGACCCCCGGCCCCGGTGCCTGTGGGGGCGGGTGCGCAGGAACGGGGGACACATGCAGAGCACAGATGGCGATGTACCGAGCTGTGGAAAACAGCCACTCCGTGTGTGAGGAGATGCAGGCGCGGAGACCCCACCGCTGACCCCACCGCTGACCCGGATCCCAGGTTACCTTGGAGATGTGCAGTCCGGGCTGCTCGGGGAGGCCTCCGCCCACAGCCGCTCCTGGGAGCAGCAGCTCCAGTCTGGCGGCGCTGGAGATGGCTCTCCATCCTCCATTCAACATCTGTCCAGGGTCCACCGTCCTCCATTCAACATCTGTCCAGGGTCCACTGTCCTCCATTCAACATCTGTCCAGGGCTCTCCATCCTCCATTCAACATCTGTCCAGGGCCCTCCATCCTCATCCATTCAACATCTGTCCAGGGCCCACCGTCCTCCATTCAACATCTGTCCTGGGCCCTCTTTCCTGCCTCCACTGCTTAAGGGCTGGAACTCTGTGCATCATGGGGTCACTCAGGTTGGCACCAGAGCTGGGGCTAGAACCAGCCTCCAGACACCAACTGACCAAGCCCCATCCTGACACTTACAGGGAGGCCAAGGACAGTGCCCTGGGGGGGGCAGTGCCCTGGGGGGAGGATAGTGCCCTGGGGGGACGGTGCCCTGGGGGGACAGTGCCCTAGGGTAGTGGTTGGCAAACTGTGGCTCGTGAGCCACATGTGGCTCTTTGGTCCCTTGAGTGTGGTTCTTCCACAAAATGCTACGTGCGGGCGCGCACGTACAGTGCGACTGAAACTTCGTGGCCCATGAGCAGAAGTCGGTATTTTGTGGAAGAGCCACACTGAATGGTCCAAAGAGCCACATGTGGCTCATGAGCCACAGTTTGCCGACCACTGCCCTGGGGACACAGTGCCCAGGGGGACAGTGCGCTGGGGTGACCATCACTGAGGGGCGCACTGACTGAGCGGGGAGCTGAGTCCCCGGCCCTGCTGTGCGCACTACCTGGTCCTGAGCTGACTGTCCCACTTGATCAGCGTCTCGGCCAGCAGGGCGTCCTCCAGCTGCCCCAGCCGGCCCCGCTGTGGGAAGACGAAGAAGGTGGTGGCGTTGGCGGCATGCTCCATCTGCAGCACCGTGCACTGCAGCTCGGGGTCATGCAGGAAGCGGTGGCGAGCCTTCTGCCGCATCATGGGCACCGGCACGGCCCTGTGCTCGTCCACAAAGAACTTCTTCAGGCTGGTGGCTCTCGGGTCAAAGGGTCGCGCCCACCCGGCTGAGGGGGTGAGAACAACGAGGTTGCCGTGGAGAGCATGGAGAATGGGCTCCGGGCCACCCATCGGGCAGCCACAGGGTGGGGAGTCCACAGTGGACGCCAAGCCCAGCCCCGTGACTGCCTCTTGGCCTGTCCCTCGTTCCCTGTGCAGCCCGGGGCCGAGCCCTTGCCTGCCCTGAGCTTGCGTCTCCTGTTTGGGACACGGGGTGAGTGCTGTCACAGTGACAGAGCAGTGCCCGACAGTGAGGGCTGCTTTGCTCTCTGGTCTCCTTACTCTCTTTGGGGTGGTTAATTAAAAAAATGGTTTTTAAATATATTTTTATTGATTTCAGAGAGAAAGGGGGAGGAAGAGAGATAGAACCATCAATGATGAGAGAGAATCCTTGATCGGCTGCCTCCTGCACGCTCCCTACTGGGGATGGAGCCCGCAACCCTGGCATGTGCCCTTGGCTGGAATCAAACCCGGGCCCCTTCAGTCCGCAGGCCGACGCTCTATTCACTGAGCCACACCAGCTGGGGCCAGAGGTGGTTACGTTTAAAGGAAAAAAAAATCCGTCATGTGGCACCAGCCGCTCTAAAATGTGTGTGGATCTGAGGGCTCGGCTCAGCCTGGCTGGCAGGCCTAAGGCACGTCACCTAACACTGGGCCTCAGTTTTCCCATCTCTCAAGTGGACATAATGAAATTGCCTTGTTGGGCTGTGAAGAGAATTCAGTAAAAATCAAACATGCCATCCATGCCATTGCAAATGGTAAGAGTTCCTTCCTTTTTAGAGCAGCATAGTATTCCATCGTGTAGATGTACCACAGTTTTCTAATCACACATATGTAATACCCTTTGTAATAAAAAATTAAATAAATAAAAAAAATAATAATAATAAAGAAATTAAAAAAAAATAAAACATGCCCAGTGACGGCATGATAGTATTCAGATAGTGTGTGTGCAAACAGGCTTACACACACCAGGCGAGAACTATTCACAGGCATGTAGCTGAGTCATGCGTTAGGGGCTCAGGCCAATTACTTCCTCTTTTAACACCAATCTGTCTCCTCATGTGTGAAAAGGAATCACGAGCCATAGCCTCTGTGCTCATCCAGGTGAGACGGCCAAATGAGAGTGGGTGTGAACTCCCTGGAGACCCACAAAGCACCCACTGTGCAAGGACGAGAAGGACCGGACTATCCGCTGCCTGGGGGGCAGTGCCCTAGGGGGACACCAGGAGTGTGATTAAGGAGCGAGGCACGTGATTGCATCGCTCTCCTGGGAAAATAAAGGCTCTCCCAGCGCTGGGGCGCTCCCCGCTCTCATCCATGCCTCCTGGACCTGCCAGAGGAAGGGGCTCATGCTCCGTGACTCAGCGCTGCCCACAGTTTCTAACGTGGAGATCACAGCCCTCCTGCAGCAGCCTCCCGCGGGGGGAGGACGGGGACCGCCCTCAAATGCAGGGTCTTGGGTCCCTAACTGACCTGCCCCCTAAATCAGAATCTTCTGGGGACAAGCGCAAGATACCTGCATGGTAAGCGAGTTCCCCAGGGAGTGCTATGCACACTAAAGTTGGAAAAATCCTTCTTTGAAAAAACTCAACAGTGGTATTAAAATGTGACAGGTGATGAGTTCCCCGTCACTGGGGTATGCAAGCAGAAGCATCAAGGATTCCTGGAGCTCCTACATCTCAGTCAGCAGGGGAGGCTCTGGGGGCTGTGAGGAGCGGGGCTGTGGTGTGATTGGGGCCCTGATGGAGGGTCCTGGGATAGACCCCTCTTACCTCTGAGGAGCAGGTGACTCACCAGGACCTCCTCGGTGGCATCGCTGAGTTCCTCCACCCAGGCGCCAAGCTGCCCCCGGGTCTGCTTCTCTACATACTCCCGGATGCTGTGCTGGGCCCCCGCCGGGTCCTGGGCAGCCCCCGGGCCCAGGCCGCTGAACCTGCGCTGGCCCAGCATCAGGAGGAGTTGGGGGCCCTGCACGGGGAGCCTGCGCAGCAGGTCCCGGAAGCCCTCCTGGATCTCGGCCTCGGAAACCAGGGTGAGGTTGAAGCCCAGGCCCTCCAGGAGGTGGGCCCTGCTGGCGGCGGGGGCTTCGAGGAAGAGCCTGGCCAACGCCCAGGAGATGCCCACGGGGGAGAAGAGGACGTTCTCCCCGGGGGCCTCCGAGGCCAGCTGTCGGTAGAGGTCGAAGGCAAAGTCTATGTTGCTCACGGAGAGCTTGTGGCAGGGCAGGGCCGGCCCGGGAGGGACGTCTGGGGGGCTGGGGTCCATGGCGCCAGAATCCTCCTGGTTGGCCAGAGCCAGGCAATGGCCCACAGCCAGGAGCGCAGGGACCAGCAGCCACCACCGGGGGGCCTCCATCCTCTGGAGTCCTTGGTCAAGATTCTAGAAGCAGGGGCGGGGGAGGACAACAACAACAACGGTAATAGTAATCCTATCTAATAAAAGACAAAACGGGTAATTAACCGTACCTCCGCTACACTTCCCATTGGCTAATTAGGGCAATATGCAAATTAACTGCCAACAAAGATGGTGGTTAATTTGCAACATAGGCACAATGATGGGAGGCGAAAGAGGAAGGACAGAAGAACTGTGATCGGAAACCCAAATGGCAGGCAAGAGCCGGGTGGCAGCCCTGGATTGGAGAACCAGGCCACCTTCCCCCCACCCCAGCTGGTGAAATTGGAGATCACGGGGCTGCAGGCACGGCGGCTGCACCTGGAGGGCCAGGTGCTGCTGTGCCTGCGGCCCTGTCATCGTGATCAGAGACCCTGAAGTGGCACGGGGGGGGGGAGAGATGCAAATGTGCCTGCAACCCCGTCATCGCCATTGTGATCAGAGATCACGGGGCTGCAGGCATGGAGGCTACACCCCGGAGGGGAGGGGGCCGCCTCATAGAAGCATCTATACTAATCAAAGTGTAATATGCTAATTAGACTGGACATCTTCCAGTCTTCCTTCCTGATGTCCTTCCAGACAAAGCCATGGTGGCGGGGGTCAAGGCAGAGACGGTTAGGAGTGATCAGGCTGGTGGGGTAGAGCAGTTAGGGGCAGTCAGGCCAGTAGGGGAGAGCGATTAGGGGCAGTCAGGCGGCGAGCAGGCCGGCAGCAGGGGGGTCAGGCCAGCAGGGAGAGTGGTTAGAGGCAATCAGGCAGGCAGGCAGGCAGGGGAGAGGTTAGGAGCCAGCAATCCCAGATTGCAAGAGGGCTCCCCCCTAGTGATTCTGACTCCGCAGATTCCTGGGGCCCCCAGACTTTATGTTAGTGAGGGCCAGAGCAGGCCCCAGATGTGCACTCGGGTGTGGGTAGGAATAACCACTGTTACACCCCTGCTCTGCCTCTGGCTCTCCCACGAGACCATGGGTAGCCTGAGCCTTTTAACCCGAGTCCCCTTGTCTGTAAGGGGAGAAGAACGGGAGCTCAGCCCCGAGGGTAAAACTGGTTCCATTTTGTCTATCGGCAGGGAACGCTGGTGAATATCTTGGCTTTAATGAAAAGTTCATTCCCTTGTTCATTCATTTGTTCATTCATTCATTCATCCATTCACTACACAAACATCGGCTGGAAGCCTGTTGGGACCTGAGCTGGGCGCTGGGGAAGCGGATGGATGAGACACGGGGGCCCTGGCTCACGGGGGACAGGCACACGGAATTCACTCGGAAGAGTGTGCAGGCAGGTCCCCCAGACCATAGAGCTTTCGAGCTGCCTGGATGCCATGATCCAATCCGAGCGCTGCACAGATGGGGAAACCGAGGCCCAGAGAGACTCTGGCTCAATCACTTGCCGACTCATTCAGCAAACATGCGTCCTTCAGGGGCCCTGTCCGGAAGAAGCTCGCCAGCCACCGGGAGAGGTGCAGCGCAGGGCTGGTTACAGCTTCCTGAGCCATGGCAGTGGGAGGGGAGCCTGCAGGAGGCAGGGAGCTCCTGGAGGGCTCCCTGGAGGAGGGAGCCCCTGACCTGAGACTGGAGATGAGTCAGGAGAAGGGTTTCAGCAGAGGGAAGAGTGTGCTGAAGGCCATGGAGGCAGAGTGAGCCAGCACCACTCCAAGCTGCTGTCTGTACAGACAGCTCTGGGAGCAGGAGGGGTGCATGTGTGTGTACATGTGTGTTCACATGTGTGCCTGCTCCTGTGTGACTCGTGAGGTGACCCGTGGCAGGTCCACCAGGCTGGCTGGGGGCCGTGGCTCCCGCTCCAGCCCCACCCGCAACCCCCACTCACCTGGACCTGCCAAGGAGCTGAGGGACTCCGCAGTCGTGGCCGGGACACAGAAGCCTGTCGGTGCGGCAGGACGGAGGCTGGACTGTGGGACTAGCAGGCTGTCCCGAGGCTGCCCGTGGCCCACGTCACCCGCAGCACCCGGCAGGAGGCAAACTGCCCGCCCGCGT